TTATAATTACTATTACCATTAACAGAATATGACAGAAGAACAGCAGACAGGATCTAAAAGAACGGAAAACTTGTATCACACCGATCTTCCTAGTGCGAAATTGCTTTCAAAATATTGGTATGTTTTCTATGTTATGGACCTAAGAAAAGGTTGTCCCACGGCCCTAAAAACCTTCAATCTTCTGATCAGAGGCCTTGCTACCGAATGTATATTATCGTCATACCCAGAACTAAGCTTGTCTTACTCGATGTGAAAATAATGACATATTCAAGATGTTGACTTCCCCATTATTTCAAAACAATATGTTAGGAAGGAAGCTTCTATTTATACTGGAAAGAGCGATAAGAATTAGTAGACTGGAAAAAGCTATTTTCCTGAAAAGGTTTAAGAACTAAAAGAATGGGAATCTTGTATTGCACAGATCTTCCTAATGCGAAATTGCTTTTAAAATCTGGTATTTTGTCTATGTTATGAAACGTGATTTCCTTTGAATTTTCTTTGTCCAGTGTTTAATCTCGCGCGTCATAATAGATATCTACTTGCCACACCAAGCAGGCAGGAAACGACACAACGTCAGTTTAATGTGGGGTTCCTGGGCGCGACACCTGGGCCAGTTCCAAAATTAGCTCATCCCCAGCAACCGTCCTGTTGCGCTGGCATCGGTATTACTACCGATCCGCCGTCTCTAGTTCAATGAGGTTGGTACTGCTCCGGGCAGCTGTTCTCCGGAAAGGAGCATTTTTTTTTGGGGGGGGGTGCGCTTTGTCCGAAGACAGAGACACACTTGAGAGATAATAAACGAGATTCAACACACTAAATATCGCAAATCCGACTCGCGTATTATATTCTGCATCCCCCAGAGTTTTACTGTTTGGGAATTTATATGCTTTAGATATGCTAATTAGGCAGTCATTTATTTACATAGCATTAAAGTCTTGATTCGCATAAAGGTCTATTTAACAATTTCTAAGTTAAATTTATGCTCCAGCATCGGTAGTGAATATGAACTTTAGGAAGGAAACTCCCATGAATACTGGAAAGCCAAATTAGAGATATTAAACTTGAAAAACATATTTTCCTGAAAAATTGTTTTAAGAAAATGATTTTGTAAATTTCATCCGGCAGTACCCCTGTCAATGAATGTCGAATGTTTCCTTAGAAGGAAACGGCTGATATTATAATTACTATTACCATTAACAGAATATGGCAGAAGAAAAACAGACTAGAACTAGAAGAATGAGAATCTTGTATGGAACCGATCTTCCTAATGCGAAATTGCTTTCAAAATCTGGTATTTTGTCTATGAAACGTGATTTCCTTTGAATGTTCTTTGTCCAGTGTTTAATCTCGCGCGTTATAATAGATATCTACTTGCCGCCCCAAGCAGGCAGGATGCGACACAACGTCAGTATAATGTGGGGGAACCTGAGCACTCAGTCCAGCAACCGTAAGCATCTTGTTGCGCTGGTATCGGTATTACTATTGATCCCCGACTCTAGTTCAATGAGGGAGCTACTGCCGCAAGAATTTGTTTCCCCTGACCGGACACCTCTCAATTATTTTGGATACGTTCCATCCGAAGACAAAGACCCCACTGAGAGATAGTAAACGTGATACGAATCTCGCAAAACCGATTCGTAAGACTCGCGTACCATATTCTGCTTGGGCACTTATATAATCTATATATCTTAACTATGCTAATTACATAGGCAATTATTTACATATCTGGGTTCGCATAATGACCTTTTTAACTTCTCAGTTACATTTATACTTTGGCATAGGTTTTGACTATGAAGTATTTTACACAGACTAGAATACTTACAACAGTATTTAGTATTGTTGAAGTTATCGATAACATGTTGAGATTTATAAACTTAACATTTCGTTCAATTTCGCAAACCGATGAATTTTAAATAAGCTGACTCGTTTTGGAAAATACTTAAAGAAAAACCCAACTGATCCATGCTTTATCTTAACAAGAGTCAAACTAGGACTCAATCTGGTCTGAGGTTGATCATTTATGCGGCCTTGTTGCTGATTAATTTTTTCCAAATTAGAAACACTTTCCCGCAGGCAAAATATTGATCGCCTAAATCTACTCTATCGTATTTTCATTTTTCATACATTTTGGTTTCCTCTTTTTCATACATTCTAGTTTCCTCTTTCCTCCTTCATTCTCGGGTCCTCTTGATCAGATCTTCACAATTAACACGTCCTGTGCGTACAAAGTTGAGATTTTTTAAACTCTACATTTTGTTCAATTTCGCAAACCAATCGATGAAATTTAAATAAGCTGATTTGTTTGGGAAAATATTCAAACAAAAAACTAGCGGTTTAATAATTTCTGTAATTTAATTTAATCTTATAGGACTTCATGATAAACAATATTTTTAAAGAAAATTTCATTTTTTTCCCTTTTTAACAGCAAAGAATATTTTTTATGATTTCTTACTCTTGAGCATGCAACCTACAATTGGCCATGCGTAAATATTTCTTTCTGGGGCCAAATTGCAAAGTTTTGGAGCGTTTGGCCTTGTGATTTCTCTATAATTGTCACAAACGCAGGGCGAACTGGAAACTGAATTCTTGTATATACAAAAGAAAATATATACAAAAAAAAATATTGCCTTTTTATTAAATAAGTATTTGTTATTTTAATCATTAAATTGTTTTTAAAATAATGGGAGTATTTTTTGCAGGCTAAATAAATAAAAAAAAAACTTTTAACATTTCAAAAAATAAAAATGGAAATTTTTTGTACTAAGTTACGCCCCTGGTAAAACAACTGTACTTTTTACTACTTTACCTGTTTTCACTTCTTCACAAAATGTGATTTCGATCGGTCAATGTATGGCTATTTTAGAGGGTTTGACGGACGGACTAATGAGAGTCAGAGAAAGTTATATATAGATAGATCGTCTGTCGTTGAATATCGAACTCACTACTTAATAGTAATTGATCTACAAAGACAAGCTTTCTAATCATTACAACAGTTCAAGGTGTCCAACTGACCACAGCATTATATTAGAAATTTCTGGTATATTTAAAATAATTCTGTGTGTGTCCGAATATAAACTACGTCAATAAATAGGAATTATTCTCACACTAGAAAGTTTTTGTTGAAATCCTGACAGTGTTTAATATCGTTGAACTTATCGCTAACATTTTGGGTCGAGATTTACAAACTCTACGTTTCGTTCAATTTCGCAAATCAAATGATAAAATATAAAAACTTAAAGAAAAGATATGAACCCCCCCCCCCAAAAAAAAAAACAATAGTGTATCTTCATTAAATATGTATTGGCTATTTTAAATTTATTTTAAAATAGTGGGGAAATTTTGTGGGTTAAATAATAAATCTTTTATTTTTTCTAAAAAAGAAAATCAATGAAAATTTACTTAACTACCGCTTTACCTGTTTGTTATTCCCTCAGAAAAAATGATTTCGATTGGTCAATTTTTCGATAGACTATTTTAGAAGGTGTGGCGTACGTACGGACGGACTTACGGAAGTCAGAGACTTTTACTCAGACTACCGAGCTATAGCGGATGCCTAGAAAATGAAAATTCTTAAATTCTTAGGATTTCTTACTCTTGAGAATGCAGCATACAACTGGGCATGCGTAAATATTTCTTTCTTGATCCAAATTCCAGCTTTTTCAAGCTTTTGGCCTTGTGATTTCTCTAGAATTCTCACAGACGCAGGTCGAAATGGAAACTGGATTCTTGTATATACTTAAACCGAAAGAAAATATATGCAGAAAACAATATTGCCTTTTTATTAAATAGGTATTTGTTATTTTATTCATTAAATTGTTTTTTTTTTTTAATAGTGGGAATATTTTTGTACGTTAAATAATAAAACTTTTATTTTTCTAAAAAAAAATCAATGGAAATTTATTTTAATAAACTACGCCCTCTAGTAAAACCAAGTGTATTTTGCACCCCCTTAATCGTTTGCACTCTCCCGCCAAAATGTGGTTTCGATCGGTCAATTTTAGATGTTGTGAGGTACCTACAGACGGAGGGACTTACGGAAGTGACAGAATTTTACACAGATTATCGGGCTATAGAGGATACCTAGAAAATGAAAATTTTAGGATGGATACTCACATATTGATCCAAGCCAAAACGGATTACATTTGTTAACGAACATTTGGAGCAGATCAACCAGAATCTTTAATCTGCGACAATCTTTTATTTCCATAGTTACTGATCTCTGATTCGTGTAAGACCGCTTTACACAGATTTGTATATAAAAAAAATCATATATTCTTTCCAACTTTTGAAGCTAAAACTAAAAATATTTAGAAAATGTTAACAAAAGATACTAAACTTAATAAAAAGAGAAGTCGACCAGACGCACAAACAGGTAAGGAAAAAAATAAATATATATCTTAGAAATAAAAAAAAAGCAACTGATAATCAGACGACAAAAAAGGAAACTTATCAGTTATTTTTTGTTCTGTTACGTTTTAATTTTCTTTTGTTTAAATATTTATTTTTATGCAAGTTTCTTTGCGTCAGTCTTCGTTTCAGTTTTATTTTTATAACATTTCGTTTCGTTTCTTTCTCCGGATTCGTTTTTTTTTTTTTTTTTTGGTTGACCATTTTTAAAAGCTTCCGCGTTGTGTCAGATTGATTGGATAATGTTGGTTTGAAGTTGGTACTCGCTTCTCGGATATCACTTTATTTATGTCTATATAAATAGATACAAATTTATACATGTGAGTAAATAAAAAAAAAAATGAGAGCGAAGAAAAATGTTTTAAAAAAATATCCCGAGGCGCAAGTGCATCGCGAGGTAAATACAGATTGATAAACAGAGGAAGAAAGAAAGGAAAGATTACCAGCTCGAAAATAAAATAAAAAGAAAACATGAATGGCAGATAGGATGAAACAACTGCAGGAGAAAAAAAAAAAAGGTGAGAAAAAAGAGAGTAAAGAAAAGGAAATAAAACGAAGAGTAAAGAATAAAAAAAAAGAAAGGAAAAGAAAAGTTAGGTTAAGAGAGAAGGAGGGAAAGAGAGGGAGAGAAGGAAGAAGACATAGAAGAAATAAAAGAAATCATCGCAAAAATCTTAATGTTAGAAAGTAAGGTGATGTAATCGGACAAAGAAAGAATGAAAAAAGAATAAGAATAGAGGCAAGAGGAAACGAATCAAAGGAGATAACAATTCATAGGCGATAGGAAGGTAAATATTAATATAAGAAGAAGAAAGAAAGAAAGAAAGAAGACAGAAAAAAAGAAAGAAAGAAAGAAAAAGAAAAGAAAGATATAGGAAAGAAAGAAAGAAAAGAACGAAAGAGAGAGGTATGGTGGGGAGAAAAAAGAAAAAGTTAAAGAAAGAAAGAAAAGAACAAAGTTAAAGAAAAGAAAAGAAAGAAAGAAAGAAAGAACGAGATATAGGTATAGGTATGAAAGAAAGAAAGAGGAAAGAAAAAAGAAAGAAAGAGAACAGTTAAAGAAAAAGAAAGAAAGAAAGAAAGAAAGAAAGAGATATAGGTATGGGGGAGGAGAGAAAGAAAAGAAAGAAAGAAAGAAAGAAAGAAAGAGAGAGGTATAGCTAAAAAGAAAGAAAGAAAGAAAGAAAGAAAGAAAGAAAGAAAAGAAAAAGAGTGAACAGTTAAAGAAAGAAAGAAAGAAAGAAAGAAAGAAAGAGAGAGGTATAGGTATGGAGGGAGAGAAAGAAAAAGAGTGAACAGTTAAAGAAAGAAAGAAAGAAAGAAAGAAAGAAAGAAAGAAAGAAAGAAAGAGAGAGATATAGGTAACAGGTGGGGAAAGAAAGAAAAAGAGAAAGACAGATATAGGTAAAGAAAGAAAAGAAACAGTTAAAGAAAGAAAGAAAGAAAAAAGAAAGAAAGAAAGAAAGAAAGAAAGAAAGAAAAAGAAAGAATGGTATTCAGTCATAGTGGGAGAGAAGGTAAAGAGTTCACCGTTAAAAACAAAGAAAGAAAGAAAGAAAGAAAGAAAGAAACAAAGAAACAAAGAAACAAAGAAAAAGAAGTAATGGTGTACAATCATAGTGGGAGAGAAGGTAAAGAGTTCACCGTTAAAAACAAAGAAGAAAGAAAGAAAGAAAGAAAGAAAGAAAGAAAGAAAGAAAGAAAGAAAGGTGTTCAGTCATAGTGGGAGAGAAGGTAAAGTGTTCACCGTTAAAAACAAAGAAAGAAAGAAAGAAAGAAAGAAAGAAAGAAAGAATGGTGTTCAGCCATAGTGGGAGAGAATGTAAAGTTAAAAAGAAAGAAAGAAAGAAAGATAGAAAGAAAGAAAAAAGAAAGAATGGTGTACAGTTATGGTGGGCGAGAAGGAAAAACAGTCTGAATCGTTTAAGGCAAAGAAAGAAGAAAAGAAAGATAGAAAGAAAGAATGATAAACAGGTATGATGTGAGAGAAAGATATACAGACAGATTAGTTAAAGACAAAGAAACAAAGACAGAAAGAAAGACAGAAAGAACGAAAGAAAGAAAGGAACAAGCAAGGAAGGAAGACTGATGTACAGTATGGCGTGATAGAATGAAGAACAGACTGAGCCGAGTCAAAAAAAGAAAGGAAGAAAGAAGGAAAAAAAAAGAAAGGAAGAAAGAAAGTATGATGTACAAGTATAGTGTAAGAGAAGGAAATACAGACTGAACTATTGATGACAAAGAAAGAAAAAAAACAAAGAGAGAAAATAATATACATTTATTACCTATATATAAATTTTTGAACTATTAATATAAAGGTTTTTAACAACAGATACAAAAAAAAAAGATTGAAACCACATATAAAAGCTATAACAACATTGGTCAGAGCGAATTTGTAATAGAACGCGTGAAAAGCAAATACACAAAGAAGGGTAGATAGGTATATATATATATATATATATATATATATATATATATATATATATATATATATATATATATAAGGCAGGATGTGTGTGTGTGTGTGTGTGTAAGGAATGCACAGCCGCAATTTTCGACGGATTTGCACCAAAATTTACCGAAGACCGACTTCGCATTTCCCAACTCTCATCGATAGTGGAAATAATCGATTTTTTCATGCTTCTACGGCAGTTTTCATGTAGTTTGTGGCCATTTTCTACTGACCAGAGTGAGAACATATAGCTGGCTGCCACGAATAGGCAGGAGGATTCTATTGGCCAGCGTAAGAGCCAACAGCTGACTGACACGAATGTTAACTAGCAAACTAGCATGCAAAAAAAAAATCGATAGCTGCATTCGTCACATGTGGGAAAAATTTAAATCTGCATGGCACTTTACTCCAATTGGCTCATTCGCTTGCTCAAACTCAACGTTGATTCTGATTCCGCAGAACTGGGTTGGTTGTGAAAAAGTATTTGTTGTTAACATTCTTTTTTCATTCGGTTTTTCCAGTTACGAGTCCTTTTTTAAAGCTGATCGTTTTGTGTTTATTTTGTCTAGTTCTTTTTTTAACAGGTTTAATGTTTAGTATAGAGCTTAGAAAAAATTTGCACTGTGAGATAGGCAAGAAGTAAGGCATGTAGCAACATCAGCACGACAAAGTGCACTCCTTTAAAGGCAAGGAAGGGGCAAAAATATTTTAAGTCAAGTGATAGCGATTGCTGTATGAGTCGTACGATTTTTGAATCAAGCACGGGCAACGCCGGGCTGTTAGTATATACATATATATATATATATATATATATATATATATATATATATATATATATATATATATAACGAGCCAGGCAAACCTACCTAGGTTTCACCTAAACGGATCTTCAGGGTAAAATGGCTAAAAAAGGAAAAGGCGGAACAGTATTTATTGATAAAACAATTAAAAACATAAAACAATTTACCACTCTACTTAGCGTATTGAGCACTCTAAGTTTTAATCTTTATACACGCTTGATTTTTTTCTTCTTTGGACTAAGGACTTAAGGCACTTGTTCATTTGTTTCGCCTTGTTCTGATGTTTTTAGTTCTTTCTTTTTTTACTTCCGTCACTATACATTTGGGAACAAGTGAGAACGAAAAGAAACAAACAACATTTTAATAACGTTATTTTTCTCATGAAATTAGGCCTGCCATTCAGAATGCCAATCGGGACGCTTGTGGTCAGCGGGCCGCAGTTGGCCCATGACTGATTTAGACTGCCCAGAAAAGCTCAACCACAGACGCTAATCCCCCTGGAATTACTTTCCTTGCAGATATTTCTTTACGTTTTCCGAACAAGCCACACACTAGCAAATTCCTTTCTTTTTGTAAACCACCTGGCCACTTATTCCATAGTTTGTCAATGCATAAATATACTCCAGCTTCATGTTTCCATCTGCTGATGCAAATGGCGGATGAGTGAGACTGTATTTTACAATAACACACGATACGACTGTCAAACAACTACCTGCGTCTTGTACGGCGAATATGACCCGAAACCTATATTTTAACTTGAAAATTTAGGCTCGTCTTATACACCCAGGCGAACACAAACTTGTAGATCAGTATTTACGGTATATATATATATATATATATATATATATATATATATATATATATAT